AGCTTAATGTAAAGATTTCACATTATATACACTACTTAGTATTTTAAAATCATTTATCAACTTGTTACTTTAATCAATGTTTTAAATGTAAAATACCAATTAAAATTCCAAATGCTACAATCATCATATTATATCAAATACGGGATTACATGATCTATTTTTGCATCAAATACGAAAAGAACAGATTTTTTCACTATAATTTAGCCTACGCACAGAAAGTAAACGTCATTTAATCAATCAGCGGATTTGATTGTAACATTTGATCTTTAAAACAAAGTATTTGCCGTATTTCAACGTGCAAAGTTCAACATAAATTGAGATTGGTAGACATTTTCAACTGTATGAAAGACGTTAAAATAGAATCTAGTAAAATGTCATGCAATAATTCTAGGGTTACATTGTTGTTTACATTACTTTGAAAAATTTCAGTTGGATACACATTTAGGTTTTCAAGTTGGTGATTTTCTTATATCAAAAACTGCATTTCTACTGTTCAAAATAACCGGTTCTGAAAATGTTTGAATCTAAACAAAATTAACTTAATCTTTTCATGACAAGTCCTTAAACCTAGACACTTTTTGGGTCAATCAAAAGAACATTAAAAACGTGAACAAAGCAATGGTCATTTCGTTCTGCAATTATCATTTTATTGATAACTGTAAAATATCTCACCAACCAAGCGACCATGATATATTTTAAACAGTCACCTGAACCAAAGTTGGTCTCAATTTACTCTAGATTAGAACCACGCTTCAAGAAAATATAAATTAATAAGTTGAAATGTTTTCATGATTCTTTATATTTTATCCCTTTTTAGACAAAAAATCCATATTCAATGAAATTGAATTGCTTTGATTTATAATACAAACGGCAATTACAACGAATTGAGTTCGTTTTAGACTATTTTTCAATAAAAGAATCATGTTAGTAAACAGACCAGTTGCACCGATGTTTTTTTAAGTTTTATTCACATTATGATACTATTTCACCAAGTATTACAAATGTACATTATATAATATTTCTATGTTTTGATACTAAAGTGTAAAATTAGCATACTAAAGGAAACGTTGTTTAGGCCGGGGATAAAAAAAGTACATAAAACAACTGCATTGTCTGTTGCCGATTATCACATGCCCGTACCGCTTTCTGACCAGAGAATTTTTTGTTTTTTGTTGACCGCGTGAAAACCGTATGCATTATTCAAACATTACAGTAAAATGGCATCTATGAAAAAAATGTGAACTTTTCTTGTTGTGGGTATGTGAACTGCTCACTTTATATAATTCTAGTCAACTCGTTCAATATTTCTAGAGAATTTAATTTGATATTATTCAACGAGATTATCAAAATACGCATGTAACCTACATTTCATTATTGTTTCTATTAATGTACAGTCTGGAAATTTTGACAAAATAAAAAAACAACACGATTTGTTTCGATCTATAATAACTAATTATCATATTTTATGTTAAACAATAGCAACAATAAAATTTTCTTTTTGTTCATATTATACCGAAAATTACGTTAAGTTTGCACGAAGGATATATTTACTTTGCTAAAAGTATTTTAACAAAACATTGAACATGATGTACCCTGTCAATCCTCTACAAATAATTAATCGATGTAATACAGTAACTATGCATTTCTTTTAGCCTGCACTTCAATAGATATGGAATAAGTACTTACATGGAGATAAAATGGATACTCGTCTGTCACGCATTAGTTTTAATTAAGAAAAATGCGTTTGATTCGTACCAATCACGCTAGGAACACGCGCTATTTAGCGAAATGACAAAGGCAAATGTAAAACATGTTGCATTTGCTATCCATTGAAAATCTTTTTTACGATCTTAAAAAAAGAGGCACTTCCTAAAGTTATGTTAAAACTGTCTTTTCGAAACCTTAAAAACCCTTGTGCTATCCATAAAAATCTTTGTTATGATTTTTAAAAAGAATCATTGCCTAAACTTATACTGTCTTTTCGAAATCATAAAAGACGTGAAACAAAACCTTTTGATTGTTCTAAAGTGCCATTCTTTTCAGGGGTAAAATTGAAGCGCATGTCTAATAGAAAGCTTCCGTTCGATTAGTTTGAAAACACAATTGTATTATAGCATGATATTATATTAAATGAAATTATAATAACATGGCTTTTGCTATGATGCTCTTCGGTTATAAAAATATTTGGAACAGAAACTGTATAATGTAATGTTTTACACATCACCGTCAAAAGAAATTTCATATGGCTGTTGACACACAAAAAAATAATCATTATGGTATATTAGTGAAAGGTGCATGTATCCATCTTCTTTATATTCATACACTGGACGTTTGTTTTTTGTTGTTGTTTTTTTCTTTAGAAACCGCCCTGACCTATTTCCGTCAATGTTGTGTTTGCTAAAACCATACTACGAAACAGTTTAGGAAATATCGGCGAGTTTTATAAATGATGACACACAGAGATTTTTATCTTTTTTGTTAAAGACCACATTGTCAAAATGAAATTGTATTTTGACAGAGTAAATTTTTATCTGTCAACATACTTAATTAAGAATGTACTTAATATGACCAGCAGGTACTGTTCAGTATACTATAACTAAACAATAGACAGCTACTTATCACTATTTATGTACAAAAATGTGTTTTTGTTTTTTTCTAAGCATTTTATCCAAATACACGATTATCGATATTGGTAAATTAAAGAGTTGTCGTCATGCAAGGGAATGTCAGTTTACAACAGTAAGGTAAAATGTTCAAGTTTATTTCGATTTCGATGGAAAGTGATGTTACAAAACACAGTACAAAAAATATATTTCAGATTATGCTGTTTTAGTTTTTTAAATTGTACTGCTGTAATTAGTTATTAGTTTATATCATTGTAAAGCGCCTTTGAACATGTATATGAAAAGGGCGCTATATAAGTTTGGTAAATAATAATAATAATAATAATTTAATTGCAGTGTATAAAATTATGTAACAAAATAAACACATTTCATTTTTATGAACACTAGTAAACTCATTATAACAATGAGGAAGTGTGGGAATCTGCTCCTAGACTACTAAAATAACCCTGTAGACGCTATTGCATGTAATATAAAATCTGACAGGTCCTTTACAAATTCACCCAAACAAAATGAATAATTTACTCTTGGTAAAAAAGGAGTCCGTGGAAAATGTAATCATTACCATTGTGGTGAGTTATATTACACCGTTCTGTCTGACTCTCTCTAGTATTAAGAGATGATTGATATGCCTATGCGCCAGATTACATGGAAATGAATTATTCCACAGACGGATTGACGCCGTTCTTTTGTGAATTAATCTGAATTCCCATTTGCACTAAGTGTTGTCAACATTATCCTTACTCTTGTATTGCCCTTTAATACATAATCAGAGAAAAAATAAATCATGTGTATGAGATGTTGCATTCTGTCAAGTTTGTTTCGTTTACGAAATTTAAAATACAGAAGCTATGAAATTTTATTTTATCTGTTATGCGCCTTTGTAGTTTTGAAACTATTTTCATGCCTATTACATAACGTATAATAGTTGTAAACGCAATACATGATGTGTAACTATTACACGGTTTTGTAGTACTTTAGCAATATGTGAAAGAAAATGATAAAAAAATTAAAAATTTGCACTCTAAAAATGAATGTTATTTTTGTTTTATTCAAATTGTTTATTTTGCAATTTTTTATGTGTGGTCTTACGTAGTTTATCACATCCGATAAAAAATATTGTAAGTTTGTGTTATTAACAATTAACAATTATTGTGTTAGGATTAAGCTTGTTTGTTTTTTGTTTGATTGGGTTTTATGTCACATCCGCACAGTATAGGTCATATGACGCCGTTGTAGCTTTACTGGTGGAGACTTCTTTGCATGCACTTTAAATCGGCACCTGTGTAAACCACCGACGTTCCGTAAGATAGCTTGAAAGCTTCCTCACACGAAAGAAACCAAAGTCCCTATCGGAATTCGAACCCATAGCGATGAAGGGGTTAAGTGGTTTGATGTCAACACCCTGAACCACTCGGCCACGGACGACCCCATATGATTATGTAGTCTTGGGTTCAATCAACTATACGTATATGCTATTGGGCTTATATTGTTATAATTGTATAAAGTCTTCTAAAATATAGACTTTCCACTTTGTAACGTTAAGCGATACTGATAACAATAATTTATTAAAACATGAACCATACTTAACTGTTTTTTTTTAAGAAAACTAAATGTAACTGTATGTGTATGAACAGTCCTTTAAATTGATTATTTTCATATCTGCGCAATTATTATATTATTCCATTGTCTTCTCTCTGTGTAGTTCTTTAATTATTCTTGTCTCGCCTCATGTAAAGCTTTGCCAGCAATGTCTCATCAGAAAATATACTAACTGGCGTTTGACAAATGACGCATTGTGACTAGCAATAGATAACATCTGTAATAAAACTATCAATTATCCGCTAGACTACCTGATTAGTTGTTATCACTGATATTCAAGAGAGTTTACTCTGGCCTCACCCTAAAGATAAACCCAAAAGCGTGCAACATAATAACTATTTCGTCAATCTTTAAATGAAAATAAGACCCTTTAATTTAAAAGTAAAGATTTAACAAATCTGCTTGTCTTGAAGTGCCATGCTTATTAAACGTATTGTTTTGTATAATCGATATTAAATCTAATGTACTATACAGAAATTGTACATTCTTTTCAATTCAATTAGGATGTTCTGGTGTAAAATTAAGAAAAACAAATTTAATTCAAAACAAAAATATTCTATGATCACCATTAAGCAAACACGCTTTCATTTGCTTTATAAAACAGAAGATTCCACGATAACAATTTATCAGAGAATCTATCAGTCAGTGTTTGTGATAACTTCTTATAATAATGTAGATGAGTATATGAATTTTAAATAAACAGTGTTATGAAGATGGGATTTATTTTGGTTCAGATATAAACAAGAGTGAAATAAATTGATATATTTATTTGCGAGAGGTCATTTTAATGATTCAGAACCAACATTTACAAAAGCCGGAGCAACGAATTTAACATGTACGTGTAGTCAAACTTGTATATAATAATTGTGCTAAAAATTGCTACAATGTAAACTATATATAGTTGGTGAAGAAAAACATGCGCACCTTTGATTTAAATACTCCTACTATTCAGTTGTTGTATTTGATTTCTTGCAGGTGTCTTTTATAGAGCAAAATTGTTTTCCAACTTGACGAGCGAAAGTTTTTGATGACAGCAAATAAATACAAATTTTAATTGCGCTATTTAGAACAACAAAGTAATGAAACAATATCATTAGGAACATAGATGTCATTGTCGGAACAAAATCGTCGGAAATTGCCAAGATTCTCATGACACTATTAGGTACGCTAAGAATAAGTGTAACTGTTGCTAATGTAATCAGTAACGGTGTTGTCTTAAACTCTTTTACTTCCGGTGCTGCGGCTCTCCTTTGTCTCAGATACCATTCTCGAGACCGCTTGCGGAAATCCCAACTACCAAACGCAATCATCCATGTACAATTGAATATTGTTAAATACGGAATAACAAAATTTATTATTGCATCCACTTTTGAAAGAACTTTCCATGATTCAAACACTTGTTTGTTACTATAAATCAGTCTACACATAGGTGGGTCACCGTATACTCCAATGAACCAAGTTGTATATAAGTAGCACACTATTCCCATAACGGCTAGGCAAATGATGACACATTTCGCACGGAAAACCGTGCACATTTTAGTTTTCTTACGTGGCCACATAACTCCTATAAATTTCTCAACAATAACAGCCGTAAGGTACCACCTTGACAGGAAGGAGAATGCATGATCACCAAATGTGATCAACTGACACGGTCCTATCACTGTGTGTACACGAATTCTGTAAGACTCTTCTAAATTTACGCACATTACAACGAGTAAGAAGCCGGAATCGGCCACAGCGACCGCAGCTAAGTATCTGGCTGTCGACGGCGCTTTCAACTTTGTCCTTGTATACATGAGGAAAATAATGATATTTCCCAAGATTCCGACAATACATGTAATAAGGTATGCATATTTCTTGAAATATCTTAAAATGTCGCTGTGCATAGTTGGTGGTGGCGGCGGCGGTGGGAAAAGAAACCATGTATGATTGAGGTCACCATAAAATGTTAAGTTAAAAATGCTTTCATTAAATCCGCTGAAATATTCCATACTTGCACGTATATGTATTTTATATACACACCGACAGCTTATCCTCCTCATTCAGATCTTTTTTGTATATTTTGTACATATGTTTTATATGATAAAATATGCACCAACTGATCATTGATGTCAGTTATATTACAATCAGTTAGAGAATACAAAGACGTTTGCATACGTTACATCGTTTAGTAAAAGTGTCGATTTATGAACTAAGATGTCCTTGGTCCAGTTACATTCGTAAACATGTCTTACATTGCGAACATTTTCATCAGATTACCATACGTAATTATGAAATGAAATTGACATTCTCCATAGTTTCTCTCTGACAAAACATATGTGAAACCTTCCTGTCCAAATATGTCAAACCGCAGTAATCCCCGACATATGCAGCCTGAAAGTATAGATAAAAACATCGATGAATAGAGCTAAACTGCCTGCGTTACATAGAAAAATAATGGAACTTACCTTAAATTTGAAGCTTCGTCTCTCTATAAAGCTCTTACTTTTAAATATTCCATATATTTTACTCTTTATCTCAGTAATTTCATTTAGTTTAAACTATTTAGTTTAATGTAATACAGAAACAACACATATACCGTTTAACGGTTTATAGTTGTGTTAAACTAAATGTTTACTTGAATTGTACGGCAACACGTTTTGGAATATAAAACAAATCACTTTGTATTTAAAAAGGAACTGCTAAATACCGTCACCTTAGTGCAGTAACGGATCAACTTGTATTAACATATTTAAGGAGTAAACCCATTACTGCACTAAAATTACGATATTCGTTTCTTTCAAGCGCTTTTCTTTAGTGTTTGAAATTAGTTTTGAACAATATAATTGAAGTGTTTTAAATGAATCAAAATTTACTATCATGATCTTAAATTCAATTATTTAGTCAGTTTTATTATCATAATGTTAAGCTAAGTTATCTAGTCAGTTTTGTTATCATCATGTTAAGTTAAATTATTTTGTCAGTTTTAGACGACTGTTAATACATGTAATACATGTACAAGTATTGTTTGTAAACACTGATAAAGTTTACTTATTTTTCCATAATGCCATGTGTTTCGTGGAACTAAATTGAACATAAAATGTATTGTCGTAAAACATACTTTTTTCCTTCTATAGAATGAATAATTGGCTGTTCAATTATTAGTAAATAGTGAACTCTAAATATTTCCGTTTTCTACTTGCAGTTTAGATTTTTGGTTGCATAAAGCAATAGTCACACGTTGTATGCATTTCTACTCTTTTTTTTCTATGATGAGTTTAGAATCTGATAAATATGTCGGTCGTTTTCATCAAACAACAAGAGACAATGTTAATTGAATATACTGCTTGGAAAATTCGTACGAATAAACTATCCGAGTAGCTTACAGACGGTCCCTAACTTTTAATCTGAAAGGCGTCTTAGAACGAACATGATCTTCCAACACACTAGAAGAGAAATTGCCATAGCAATTTTACAGTTTCAGTTGTCTTTAATTTCAAACTAGACAATTTACCTGTAACTAATATTTTAACACAGGGAACATTATGAGAAAAGCTAATCTATATACAAATAGTATCTATTCTCTAAGTAACACCCTGTGTTCTTAGTTAGTGTTAAACAGACAGATATAAATTAAGACCTGCATTTCTCTTGATCATTACGTTCAAATGGCAAACGGAATGCACGAAATCTTTGTCTTCACTTTAACACTTTTGTAATGCAGTTCTTTATCACCTCGTAGACAGAAGACATCTATATTGCTTGGCGTCCGCTGTTTGATACATTGATTCGTTTCCTAGTGAAAGATAAATGCCAGACACAACCACGCATCATCATTTGTTTAATAAACAAATTATTGTGAAAGAAATATCTCTTATTTATTTATTTATTTATATCTCTTATTAAACGGAAGGAGTCTCAAGTGGCGTGGTTATAGTCGAGACTTTATTTTCCGAAAACGGAAGGAAATTGAAAATAGACGTTTCCATATAATTTTGATCTGCATTATTTGTTTTATAAGAAAACGAAATAAAGGGATGTATGTTTGGATGAAACAAACAAGTGAGTGCATGGCGTAGTTTATATACTTTAAAATCAAACAACTAGGGCCATGTTATTTCGAATATATTTTTTCTTGACATGATTAGAGTCAATCCTGTCCTAAATACTGCACCAATGTTCTTTGGCTATAATTTGTCAAACAAGAATAGATTTGTCAGTGTATTTCAAGTTGTACGAAAAATAATTCCAACTTCGAGAGTTTTTTTCTTTTGTTATAAGTCAAAAACTCAATGTCGTGTTAAAAATATTGACAACATTTCGTTGAATAAAAAACAACATTTTGGGAGGGTTTTCACTCAAAATTCATATATAAACAAATGATTTTTGTGAAAGAAATGCAATGTTTAATATAAAATCATTTGATATTTCTCTCATGTATAACTTTTATGGACACACCTATGTTACATATATAAAATTGATATACGCGAAACGTCTGGAGCGGAAGTAGTTGAAAATATGGAGCATGATATGAGATGATTTATGAAAAACATAATTGATATTGTTAGATAGAAGACAGTCTTTATGTAAAATAACTTGTATATGCATAAAATATATTTTTAGAACTGGCATAAAAAGTTCCCATGAAATCATTTTGCAAATGAACGGTATTTTTCTTCAAAATATTTAATGTTTTCTTCACAGACCAACAGTATGTTCCATTCTGATAAATACCTAAATGTTACAACACTTCTGTGTGCCATTGATAGTTTCCCCAAAAAGCATATTGAACTTAATAAACTAGTAATCATAAACCGAAAAAAGTTTTATCAATGCTTTTTTGTATTTCATTTATATAAAAAAATCCCAACAACAATTTACTGATATTTCTGTAATATATTTCTGTAATATATAAATAAGAAAATAATATTTTGACTTCAGACACAAATGTTTCAAAACTTTCGTGGAATACATGTCTCATTTCAGCCCATGTTTATTTCAAAACTCATTGAATGTTCAAACCTCAGAAACTGAACTCATATTTCGTGACATGTTTCTTCATAAACATATACAAATAAAATTTTATCAAACTTTTAAAAATATTTTTTAGATCAACTTATTACCAAAATTTCAGAAAGAGAATATGTTTTGTGCATATACTTTAAAGAATACTAGCAGTGTTTTTTTTTCTGAAAATCACTTGTTAATTTTCGTAATATTAATTCCTTCTTTATATTCGTTTCTGAATGGAAAAAACAATTATACTCACCTAAATTTCCGAACTACACTTCATATATCGCTCTGAATATTTTTTTTCCAATTCACATTACATAAGAGGCAAAGAAAATATGAAGAAACGAAAAACAATATTAAAAGTCTACCATATAAATATACATCCGTACAATAGTAACTTTCCCTAAGAAATAAAACAATAGCCTGTACTGTCATCGCTTCAATACTACATTATATGTTAATTATCGGACTACAGGATGCTATCTGTCACACGGAAACCCGTTAACAGCATTATTCCATACGTTGTTCTGTAATTCCTAATTAAATAGCAAGCAAATTCGATGAGAATGTTGCAAATGCTACGAAAAGCTCAAGGAAAACTGTTAAGTCAATGACGTTGTAATGTAATTGAAAAATCGCCCGGTTTAAAGCACTTTCATAATTAAATATATGATCGTCTATAAATTCCGTTTCATTTCTAAAGTCACACAAATGCAAATAATTATGTTTTAATTAAATTCTGCTTGTCATAATAGAGTTCACTTGTTGAACAATGACACAAAGCGATTTCAAACTTGGATACATCAATAAATGATATTCGATGGCTAAGCTGAAACACTACGACCGTAGTTCCAAGTGTTAAAATCAGTTTATACATGAACAATTCAAGTCAATAAATGTCGGAAGTTTAGGCAAATGCATTGATATTGATTTACACGTTTACATTTGTTGTGTTGTGTTTTTTAAACCGTAAATCAACAAGTTTTCAATGGTGTTTTGCAGCCTTAAATGTTTTAACGGCATGTCCATTTCACATGTTATTATTATCATTCTTCGGATTATAAGCAGATATTCAATTTTTATTGTCTCTCACAATCAAATTTATATTAAACCAGTCTGCATGTTTCACCTATTCAAATTTGTATTGCCATTGCGAGAGTTCTACAATCTTCTTATATTTCTTACGATATACTTATAAAACGATATAAGTAAGGATAGATATCACTTTAATACATAAATGTAATATGATCGTGTACAACTATTGCCATGTTGATGAGCTGGTCTGATCTAAAAAGACGCTATTTCCCTTTGCATATTTTTTTTTTAAAATCTAATTAGTATAAAGTGCAATATTTTGCCTTTCATTCATTTGAGGTAAATATGGTTTGTTTAACAACGTATAGCAGTAATTTATGTAAATACGACATTAACGGAATACAAGCTTAAAGTTTTCATATTGCATAATTATGTAGTAGTAGTTTCTAAATGCCAAACAACATTTTGTAAAGTTATTGCATTTGTGATAATCATTTTAGATAATGACATAATTTATTCATGAAATATGTTCTTTTTGATATTTAACATCAATACTTATTAATATTTCTATAATTACATTCCCTTCCTGGCTATTTAGAAAACATGAGTACATTCCATTTCTGGGTATTTAGAGAACATGACTATAGTAAAACAAGTGGTCCGTATTATTTTAAGTTTTATGTAAACTGACATTAGCTTTTGATGTGGTTTTAAGTTTGTAGATTTCATTTAAAGTTTAAGCTTTAAAATTTAAAACGACCATATACAATTAACAACCTTTTATATAATGCCGTCGGCATTTAGAATTCGTATTGAATTCAATAACTCTTTGCTATTGAAAGAAAGCTAAATCTCGAAAGAAATCAAGTATTCTTCAATCATTTAAGTTATCTCTAATATATGTAAAGGAAAGAGCATCGACACACGAGGCTATCTGATTTGTTCAAGTGGCGTCGCCCCCGGGTATAAATGTGATTGCCGCGTGGTTTGATGTTCCTTCTCTTTTGTATCATACTCAAACATTAAAACACGTTCCCTGTTGTCACAATAGGAAACCAAAGAAAAAAGTAACCAATGAACGAGCATGAAATTTGTATCGCTTTCTCTGCCGCCAAAATAAGCAAACCCAATGAACAATGGGCATACTCTGGAGTGCGGGTAATAAAAATACCTGCACTCCAGTTAACGCACTGTGCATGTATATGTATACGATTTAACCCTGACAAATTTTTAAACAGAAAGGTCCCCAAACTATGATACAAATTATGCATTCAAATTTAAAGTTTCCTATTTCACTTTTCATCTAATTTGGAATGATAAGCAATGATAATGTTCAAATTTGTTTGGTTTTAAAATCTACGCAAAATATAGTGGCCAGCAACTGTATCGTTTAAGCAATATTTAAGCTTAGTTTTAAAACAGCCATTTAAAGTGTATAAAGCTATTATACCTGCTTTCTATAATAGTTTTAACAAGTGAGAATACTTTTAAGGTATCGATATGTCTTGAAAGAAAATGGTTTGTATGTTGCCGTCATAGCGTTTGCATATGCACATGACTATTACTACATTGTTAAAGTCGTACATAAAGTAGCATCAAATGTTTGGTTCTGGAAATGTGATTTCCGAATTAGTTTAAACAGAGAATGTCTCTGTGATTCAAAACACATATTTTGAATATTGTATGGAAATGGGATAAAATTTGCAGATAATCTAATGAAAACAGTCTGATTTTTACTGTTTTCTAAATTTTGTAAAAGTATTGCATTAGATGTAGTTATACACAAATTATCATAGAATACCTTTCCTAGAAATAATCTGTAATTGTGTCATAGGAAGATGCATGGTGGGGCTTTAACCAAGGATCGCCGTGCTACATCTTGACTATTAGGAATCATCTCTAAACATATGTTGGTACAATAGCTCATTACATTTGTTTTATATAACAAAATGGAAAATGCAATACATTTAGCTTGAGGAACTTCTACCTTCGAAATTATTGACACGGAAAATCACCCTGGTAAATAGTAACTTTTCATTTCCATAAACCTGTTCGCAAAAATGATCTTATCAAGGAATATTGGATATTTGAATAATGATGTTTGCTAGCAATAAGTCATTTAGGAACATTTTGACACATTTTTTTTTTGTCTTTTTCTTTCTTTTCGTTTACCAAACTTTTTTTACAAACATCATGAAACAAACCTTATGAGGTCGTTATATTTATACCAAAAGAAATACGAATTTACGAGGCTGTTGTTTACGACACAAATAAAAAAACACAATAACACAAACTGAAATCAGGAATTTGTTTATTTTACAATCTAAAAATTCGTTTTCTGACAAATGTTAGTAAACAAATGTAGTTTATTGAAAAATTTGATACGGTAATTTTTTAAAATTCATAAAATCATTCAATAATACAAAAATAAATAAAGACATAATAATATCAACATATTCACTACAAATTAACTGTTGTTTTTTGTATTCTTATTAACAGAAACGTTACAATTTTATTTGTAAAAAGAACAAACGAATTTCTCGGCTTATAACGTGTGTTCTTGTCAGTTATTGTACGGACAACTCATCGTCATATTTTCAAACATTGATTAAGCACCACTTTGATGACAAAAAAATTCTATATAATCACGGGTTACAAAAAGTATTGAACATTTTTCTGATAAATGTATTCATCCTATAATTCTATAATATTGATATTTTCAGTAAATACACCTGTGTATATAGTCAAAATACTATGTTTTTGTTTCCAAAATATATACACAACGCAAAATAAAAGAGAAAGTTGGTTTATCTGGCATAATTTCTTCTACACCTTTCCCTCAATTGCAACACCTTCCATTTTCTCAGTGATATGGCGTGTCTGAAGCTCAGAATCGTCTGACTTTTTCCAAACATGTTTTAACAAACAAAATGTTTTACCAATTTGACGTGCAAAAGCATTGGAAGCTATGAGATAAATAACAATTTTAATCGCACTGTTTAAAACTACAAAATAATGAAACAATGTCATCATTAGCATCATGGACTGTGTAGGTTGAAAATTGTCAGTAATAGTAAGAATTCTGATGGCGCTATTTGGTATACTTAGAATAAGCGTGCTCGTAGCAAGCAATATAAGTAATGGTGTAGTTTTAAATTCTTTATCTTCTGGTGTTGTTACCCTTCTCCTGCGCAGAAATCTCTCACCAGCCGTTAACGACCTCCTGTGGAATTCCCAGCTCCTATATGAAATAAGGCACGTCAAGACAAAAAGTATCAAATAAGGAATAACAAAGTTTACAACCGCGTCTAATTTAGTGAGTATTTTCCAGGAATCTAGCACCCGTCTATCGTCATAGAATAAATGACAAAATGGAGGTTTGCCGTGTACTCCTACAAACCATGTCGTATATAAGTAACAAACTATTCCAATAATCGCTAAGCAAATAATAACACATTTTGCGCGAAAAACCGTGCACATCTTAGTCTTTTTACGTGGCCACATGACACCTATGTACTTCTCAATAACAACAGCCGTTAAATACCATCTTGAAAGGAAAGAAAACGCATGGTCCCCAAACGTTATTAATTGACATGGTCCTATCACCGAGTGCACTCTGACATGATACGATTCCTCTAGAATAACAAACATTACTACTAGTAAGAACCCAGAATCTGCAATTGCCGCTGCTGCTAAATATCTTGCAGTAGATGGTTTCTTCAGTTTGGTCCTCGTGAAGATAAAGAATATGATTATATTCCCTAAAATTCCAACAACACAAGTTATGAGGTACGCATACTTCTTGAAAGTTACCAATGCTTCACTCGGCCGAGGAGGAGGAGGAGGAGGGACACGTTGTGTTGTTTGTGGTAATGTTTGAATATTGTCATTTACGCCTAAACTAACATTTATGCTTGCAAGAGTAGCATTTATTAAGTCATCCATTTTATTCTAATGGAATATACTTGCTACTTCATAAATTCAACAACACGTATCGAACAGTTTTGAAAATGTTAAACCAACATTTAATAAATATATATATTGAATTATATATTCCTTTGTTATTTAAGGGGTCTGAATTTTCAATGTTTTACATTTGACAGTATTTTTATCATAATGTTTTCAAAACAATAATTTTCTTTCAAATTGTTACCAATATTCGTCCTTCAAATGGTTACCAATATTTGTAATAAATGTTACGCGTATATATCCTTCGTATGCAAAATCCTTCTCAAAGTTGCTGCTGTTATGTTCTAATCTTGTCCGTTCAACAACATGGATTCTTTTTCATATCTTCATTATTTAAACAAAATCTAGAGGATTGATTATATTCCAATCCTGATATGTTTTCCTGCACTGTTGCATAACATGCTCCCTTTTCTAATGAAAATTTGTGTTCGTATATCCGTCAATCAAAATAAAGCACAATAAAAGCAATGCGTTGTCCGTATGTTTTTGTTCTCTGACTAAATTATTATTCTTGAAAATATTTTAGCAAATACTCTATGGATCTAAAACTACCTCACATGATATGTTTATCTTAAGTTCATCAATCTTTAACTGATATGAGTTCAGCTTCCATACATATTTCAAGTCTTTGCCAAAATGAATTGATATTCGGAATTATTGGCAAACACTTATCGCTATCTCTTTTGACTAAATTCTGATGGATTTTGTTTATTGTACCAATGCAACGATTCGTCTGGCAAACGAAAACCGTTTATTTTTTAGCCATACGGGAGTCATCTTATTGAGTTATTATTTCAAGCAGATTTATAGCGCGTGTTTAGGCTAATTGTTAATGGATGTCATGGAATTATCGCAAAAAGTTGATAAATGGGTTTTCGTGCCGATTTTCATCTATTTCGTCCATTAATTAAGCCGCTTGATCCGAATTACCTTTCTGAAAAGAACGATAAACAATAGTTAGATATCTAAGCTTTGGTGAGCGATGATGATTTCATAAGATATGAATAATAACTCTCAAGTTGGATATTCAATACAGTAGTAGGTCTAGCACAATCTAACGAAATAAAATCTTACCAAGACGAACTCAATGCATTTGATGTAATAAAAGCAACAAAGTTGAAGGTAATTAGTACTACGTACTTTTTGTCAGAATATACATTACCTATCATGACATTTCATAAAATTCGTATTTATTTCATTTCATTTTTGTAGTCAAACATTTAAGATTATCTTTCAAAACATATTTACATGTATTTACAAAAATATATTTTTGTCATTGTCGTGTTATCTGATGATATTAATATAGAAGATAAATCTGCAGATATATTTGTTGTGTAAAATATAGTTATCACATAGTAAGATATTTGATAAATTATATCATATATATACGAAAAGGATACAAATGGAAACTTCAAAGAACGCCATGCACATTTGAATTTAAAGAAAATCCCATGCTCCTATTTTTTGTTAATTTAATTGTTTTATAGTCAAAAGTACTAAAGTAAATAATGAAACAAACTTAATTGATCACTGGCAATTTCAATCCCTGTATCAAACAATGTCGCTTTGAAATATTCCATTTAGTAATTGAATATCTTAGTACTGATATGCCGCAAGTTTGCAAAATATATTTAAGTCCGTCTGTGGCTGTGTACTTTATCTAAATGATTAAAGAGCTTCGCTGCCTATCTTTATGAAAAGAATAATCCTCGCCAACCTTTTAATATTACATGGTAATAAATCAATTACCCGCGCGATCCACACTTTAACCCTAATAAAGCCTATTGGATCTCCATTAAAATGGTCTTTGTCTCAGCGGGGAACCACTATTGAGACGATTCCAGTCGCTATATGATCCTTGATTGAAGCTGTTGACGGCTAAGGGTTGTTCATGTTATCTGCCAATATCAAAGCACTGTCTGAACCAATTATCGTAACCGTGCCAATAGAGAAATCTAAAGTCTAAAGGGCTTATCATACTGTATAATATATAATAATATGAAATATCTCTGGCACTTGTCAAATTAAAATTTGGTTAAACAGAAAATTGTTTCAGTCTAAGGAAATTAATCATATGAATTTGTCTGTCTATTGTGACGCATACTTCACTAAATGCTAAACTTAATTGAAACAGACGTGTATTTGAATCTGTCGTATTTTTCATTCAATTGAGCCAAACACCTTTAATTTATTTATGAAGTATAGTAACAAATACATTTTTTAAAAGATTTTTTACATCATTATTAACATTTAATTTGCTAAGAGCGCTGAATACTTGTGACCGATTAAAATCTAATATATTTCCCTCATTGTTTTTTACTTCTTTTTGCTTGCATCATTCTAGCATCATTGTTGTTGTATTTATTTTATTTCCTTTTTACTATTATCTTTTATACAAAAAGACAATTATGATATAAAACACCTAATTAAAAATGTGTTAGATAATTAGCAGTGAAGAAGACCATGATTTTATAAAGCACAAACATATTATTAAAAGCAATTAAAATAAATAACAAAAGAGCCTGTAAGAAATTTAACAAACATGAAAAGTGCATATGTAACACAACTGAAATTGTTTTTTTGGAATGGTTCTATTATCAATAATTTGTAAAGTGTTTTTCCAAGAGAACGTTAATATAGCTATCCTGTAAGAAATGATTTAAAACATAAAAAGACAAGAAAATGAAAGAAAGAAAACAGCAAAAGATACCATTTTTAGTTTACAAGTACAAACAAATATATCCATATCATTCAGTGTGTTGTAGCATAACCTAAATCATTGAGTTATTACCGTGGGAGATCTGCAAATGTCGGCAAGATAAGAACCTCAACTAGACATAACAAGTTCGTTTTAACGGCAAACTTATTGGCGACATAATGTTATTAACTGAGTAAACCTAATTTGGTAGCTATTTAAAAGACAACATTTAAAATAGGTCATTCGCTGTTGTCTGCTTAGGGAAATAAAATGGGGTTTAAATTCTTTCGATTTCCAAGTATTATAGATACATACAAAATATAGCCAGCATGCAATCTTTTACAAAAAGTATATAAAACGGAACCATTACCTAATTGCTGGAACTGTATCTTGTTAAACCAGCATTCAATGACCATTTCACTCAGGAAATAAAGGCGGGAACTAGAGGCAAAATATTTATGAAAGGAATAACAGAAGTTTTATGCCCGACATTTAAACTTTAGCTTTCAAAATTAAAAATTATTTAATACAGCGGAGTAAACATTGTTTATCGTGTTTAACATTTTTATATAGCATTTTTCCGAAAATAAATATGTAATCGTTACCCATGTTAATTATGAATTTGAATATATATACATGTATTTACGCAGACAGAAAATACTATAAAGTTTGAACTTCGCACAGGACTCTAATATGTATCGGGAAAGGAGGTAACTCTACCAATATCACTTTGTATAAGAACAGTGGTCAGCACATCAACAAGCAAACTTTGTTTAACCTTGATATCTGCTTCAACGTAAAAAAAGAAGCTTATATATGTTCTGTTTATTTACAAAACTAAAAGAGTTTTTATTTTTTTATTTTTAGCATACTACTACGCTTCAGTTGCAAGATAAAACAAATGTTATAAGTAAGTGTAAGCTATACGGGTGAAGAAAACTACTACGCAACAGTCTGATAACGCATATTATCTGAGATCTAAAACCCATTCGTCATCATGACAGAACTATATCGCTAACTTTGTTATCGCCTATCGCGAGATTACTTTCATACATTAAGCTAGGTATAAAGTTATGTCAGGACCTGATACTGAATGCAACGGATTTAATTGTAGCCTAAATCAAATGTTTCTGTCTCGGCAATTCTGTATATTGCGCATTGTTCAGTAGATGTATCAGCTTAATGCAGTAGCAGTTATTTGTTTTGAAGCGTTCTCAGATGCCATTAACGATTGTGCAGATGAAATTGCATACGTGCTCTTTAGAAGCAGAAAGTGTCGCATTTCGAATGCGGTTTTTATAACATTTAAATAGAAGGATGGCTAGTTTTGTTAAAAGAGAAACGTTGCGGTAAACTAGAATAATGTAACGACTTTCTTTATGTTGATGTTGAAATTGTCGAACAAGTAAAAATTATAGCGTTATTCTAAGGCAACATCGGGAGGAATTTCAAATTAAATTTTCTTTTAAATAATGCCACACACATTTTTTTTTTAAAAAAAAGAGCAGAGAAAATGAGACTAAATATACTTGTATATTGTATTCCTTAGCAGTTTAGACGGAATTATGGTGAACTTAGGTGTTTTTTTATGTAAAAGTCATAAAGAAAAAAGTAAACACCAAAAAAACATACAATATTTTGAATAAGATAGGAAAACTTTTTTGAAAAATATGTCAACAGAATGTTTTAATTGTTTAATGCTTTGCATACTGGGCTTTAATTTTTTCAAAAGCTCTATAAATATCTTTCTGTTGATATATATGGGAGAACGAAAGATAGTTTTACAGGTTATTTTTTTTTTTATTTTTGGTCCTAAAGAAAAAAGTTGCAAAGAAAACAAACAATGTTCTGAATAAGGTAGGAAAACTATTTTGATAAATATGTGAAAAGAATGTAAGTGTTTAATGCTTTGCTTACTACTTTCTAATTTAAAAAAGCTCTATAAATGTCTTTCTATTGATATATATGGGAGAACGAAAGATTTACAGGTTTTCTTTAAGTCCTACAGAAAATAAGTAGAAAAGAAAATCTTCAAGTTTCTGAATAAGTTAGGAAAAACTATTTTGAAAAATATGTCAAAAGAATGTTTTAATTGGTTAATGCTTTGCATTGATTCCTATGTTTTTATTTAAAAAAGTCTAAAAAATATCTTTCTATTGATATACATGTATATGGGGTAACGCTAGATAGTTCTTTTAAGTCACAAAGAAAAGCGTAAAAAATAGAAAACACATTATCTTCTGAAAAACTAATGCAAACTATTTCGAAAAAAAAATTCTAAAGAATGTTTTAATTGTTTTATGTTTTGCATACTACGTCATAATTTAAAAAAGAAAACACTATAAATATCTTTATGTTGAGATATATGGGAGAACGCAAGATAATTTTGTAAATATTTTAGTAGCAGTCTGATATACGGACGTCATTATGCAGTGAAAATTGTCTCATTATAATTCGCTGTTTACATAATTAGTTGCTTGTCTATATTCATTTACATATGTTACATATGTTAGAATGGAAGACGTGCAGGAATTGTTAACAACAAATAGATTAAGTCTTGTCACGCATTTACTGTTGTTAGAGATAATAGAAATTTACTGATTTCATATTACAAAATACTGAAACAAAGGGAATTTCCTTTACGCATGGTAAACATTGATTTGACATTTTTATCAAAATTATAAAAACAAACAGTATTTAACACTTAAAACATTTTTTAGAATTTTTCGCTCCGAGAAATGCAAATATGATATTAAATATCCAATGCTACATGTAATTGTTGCGGAACGTACAATTGTAATGTTTTCAGAACGCATCTTTGAATGACATAGACCTTTTTAAGTATACAATAGCATGTTTCAAATGTTTAAATATCTTATCGACACAATTGTTAAAATAATCTAGTCCTATGTACGAGGTGTTATGAACAACTATTATAAAAGAATATAACAAAACAAGAGTTTATAGTAGTTTTCGAAATATATAACAGATACCCACTAGTCAATATCAGAATAGTGATCAAGTAGTAAAAGTTCCATTAGATCTAAAAATTTCTATTGAAGAGATTCATCAAAAATATGAATGTCTCAGCAAGGCAATCTAGGTACACTGATTTGACAGGAAATTAATAACAACGTGTAATCAATAGTCATTTAACAACTCGACGTTGTCATTTATCTATTCGGGTAATAAATATATATTAATTCTTCAATCACAATAAGTATTGATGAAATAGTTCTTCAGGTCAATATCACCAGAAAAAAAAACTGTTGATGATGAATAATGGAACGAACACACTCAAGAGTTCTAATAAGATAGAAAGAAAAAGTTCAACAAGAATATTTTTAACAACTTCTCAACTTCATGCATTTTTTTTTAATTTTCGGCCTTTTTGTGAGATGATTGTTTTTATAAATATTCATTTATTACATAAACAATTTTATCAATACAAAAATGATCAAGGCATTAACATTTTAACAAGACTGCTGTCTTAAGTTAAGTGTAGTACGTGGTTGTCATTCCCTTATACAAACAACGAATTCAATAATTTCTACGTCAGGCAATTTAAATAATCACTGTTTTTCATGTTAAATTTGATTCACAACTCATTCTTCTATATATACTTTATTAATCAACGAATTTAATTCGTAAATAATTATCACTTTTTAAGTTTAGAAATATATGATAAGTTTGGTAATCGAATGTTTTAATAGCTATCTTTAAAATTGCACATTTATACTCAATGTTTAATTATGAACAGTAAACTTGCCTTTGGAAAGCGGATGCTAGCTAGTTGAACATTTTATTAGTAAAATAATGTTGAATTAAGCCGTTATGTTGATTACTGCTTGCAACAAATAGTTTAGGATAAAAATCAAGTAAAGTCCTGAAAGCAACTGTTCATTTCTAATTGATATTAGTTTTAAATTAGGATACAAGTGTCTGTGATATGTGTCCGTCTATTCAGACAGTGAGACAGTTGCCTGACGATTATTCCGTTATTTTTCTCCACCATTATCACCCAAATGAAAGCCTACGATGATTACTTTTCCTGATTTTTAATGTTATCGCTAATAGAAATCAGCCGAAAACCAAAGACTGAAGAAAAATTTCGGTTAAGAATATCTTAAAAGTTATTTCGCCGTTTCGGATTATTTTATCAAGACGTTCAGTAATTTTATGTTTTGAAACACGTGTTTTAGAATAATTTTATCATTTTTGTTAATGCTTGAATTAGAGATCATATCAAATATCATAAAGGTTATCTATCTTGAAGTTAAAGTTATCTCTGTTTACTAATTTTAATACTGTAACAGATACAATTTGTCTGGTATTTTAGCCGAGAAATTTAGGAAAGTTTGCACGAACGCAGGTAGAATGTTATATTTTCTTTTAAATATTAATGTAGATTTTGAATAATTTTACTTGCATGAATTAACTATAAGAATTAAATGAAAAAGAGAACAACGTTATTTTCTGAAATTATGTTTTCCTATTTGTTATTTTAACAAAAAATAAAAAGATCATATAAGTTGTTAATCATAACATTATTATTATTATAATAAATTACTCACCATAAAATTCAGGTTTAAAAGTTAGTAAAAATCCTTTCTAGAAATATACATCATTAATCAGAATTCAAGATTAATCTCCTACTTTACTCTTTATAATGAATGTCCCCTCTCTTAAGCCTTGTAAACAGAAATAAAAACAATAGTCCGATGCTTCTGTTTGAAACCTTTCAGATACTAAAGCCCTGTTATTGGAACATTAACATCAACGGGAAGCCGCTAGCAGAACTCTGTCTATCAGTTTTTTCTCTCTAGATCCTGTCTTCATTGTTTAAACAGAGTGTTATTTTACATAGTCTATCAACCGATTATATGTTCTTGTTTTATCTGCGCGCTGATCTATCTAGGTCCCGATTGTCAATACTCTTATCAGTTTATAGAAAATATTGATATTCAAGCTGATTTGACAGGCAATGGAAGCACTACCATAATAATCAAAGACAAACACTCGATGAAAATAAAAGAATATATTAACAAGAATATTATTTTATCTTGAGATTTTATTTTCTACAATTCAGATATTTACATCAGAATAAACTTAAACGTACCATTTATTTTTTAAGAACATAAAGAAAATGTCTTGAGTATGAAATAACATTAAATTTGTCATTTAATACGGTGTCCTCATCGTCCGTCGTATGTCGTGCGGGCGACATAATAAATGGCGTGATAAGGACACCGTAATTTAAAGAGTTTATAGAAATATTTAAAGATACAGCTTTATACACATTAAGGAATCAATTCAATACTTGATAGTACATCTGAGCGGTCCAACACACATTAAACATTGATGCTTTGAAATTGCCCGTTACTGAATAGAGTGACACAGAAAGTGTTATTCCCAAAATAATTTTTGGAGTAAACAAACCCCCTTTTTTCTATTTTAAATTAAGGGTTTTTGCAATGACCTGAATAATTTCATACTATAATAATTGAACTGTGTGTTTATTATGCGGAAACAATAGCAACGACCGCTATAATTTACTTTATGAACTATAATGCACTATATTTGCAAGCATGTGGACATTGATTCTTGGAACCTAAAATAAAATGCAAATAATTATGATAATATACAAATATTTATGATGCTTTGGTGTTGCAATATCATGAAAAAGAAGCTTAACAAATAACGCAAAAAAAGTATATATAAACTAACAAAATTATTAACATACATAATTTATTAGATGAAATTATACATTTCATGCAACATTTATTTCTTCCACGACTACAACACTTATAAAACATATATCAATATTTGATGCTTACTCGGTGAAATGAATTTCTATCTTTAAAAATTATTGTTAAAACATTAACTGTTCAATGTTTGCGTAGATCCATATGTCGTGCAGGCGGATAAATAATATGGAAACACATGCTTAATTGTTCAATAATGATACTTCATTTTATTATCGGATATCTTGTATTATTTGTTCAAATGTTGAATGCAAATAATACAAATTCTGAAACTGGTAAAATCTCACTATTCTTGTTTTATAATCCGTGTGAACAAACAAACAGAGTAAATATCCATCTTCAAATATCCCAGTATTTTCTTTTAAGTTACAGAGAATGTCATTGTAAAAGAAAGTAATAAGGTACATTTACTTAAACAATTTGGTAAATGTCATGTAGATATACATTTTTACGTAGACTGTCCAATGTTTCAACATCATTATTAGCAGTCATATCAATATGATGTTTTAAAACTACTAGTATCTATCTAAAGTATATGTCGCTGCATATTTTTAAAATTGATAAATAAAACAGTAGTTATATTCGCACAACGCCGGTCACAATGGTAATATGTCCAATCGCACATGGAGCATTTTGATTTCAGTACTATAACAACAGCTCCTCGAATGAAAAGCTGCTAAGAAATTGCAGTTTTATTGCAAACACTTTTTTCTTAACGTGGCACCATAGGACACCATTGCACGATATCTAGTAAAAATCATGACGTCATATGAGCGTTAGTAGTAAGACGCATAAAAGAGTCGTAACATTTGTGTTGTAAAAGTGACAATGTCAATATCAGGAAGGGAGTAACAGACCGTTTAGCAACGCTCACATGACAACAACTAAGACTTGAAAGTTTCGTTTCAAAGCTGACTTGATCAAAACCTGGTGGAAACATCACAGATTTAATGGAAATGCGACAGTGTATCGAATAAAAAACTCAGTGGACAATCTTAAGTAGCACAACCGAATAAGTAAGATCTCATTACAAATGTCTTTGAAGATAACGGGCATCGCACTTAAAGGGCTAAAAGAGACATTCCCTTTATTAAATACACCATGTTTCATGATATACATGCAATAATTTAATTACGAAGTAACATAACATGTATAACGTGTGCGTCATAGGTTTCATGGTTGTTGAAAATGGAAGACGTTGAATAGCGGATGAGAGATTTTACAAATACAAATATAAATGTATACGGCACACCTAGCGAATCGTTTCTATGCAACTAGAATTTAAACACCAACTTTCCCACACCGGTGGACTTTTTTTCCATGAAACATATTCATGTTCTTGAAATATTAATTGTATAGAAAAAAAACATGAATTCAGCCGAAATACCCATTGGTGCTCGATCCGCAATGTCTGGTTTCGCTCGGGATTGCTACAAAAACATATATCAGACTCGTATTTGTTTAGCTCTATATAACAATTGTTTTGAACATTTGCATTCTCCCTCCTCAATATTTTTTTATTTATTAATTAAATTAAATATATACAATCTGTGTCCCTATCGAATAATATGTTTTCCCTGTGTAGCTTTTCTACGTTATCACATTAATCTGCTTAAAAGAACGAGTTAAAAACTGACCATGTACCGTACAAATACATATTATATTGAATAAAAATCAATGAAAACTGTTATAACATTTCATTGAAATCATGACCGTAGAAATTATCCACATGTGCAATAGATTGCTATATGCATACTTTTAACATTGGTTTACAAGTGACGATATTGTAAGTGAATAAGGTATGGCAGACTCATTTCCAACACACCTGTTCTCATCACAAACTGAAGACGAGTTTACTGTAAATTGTTCAGTATTTGATTGATGGGAACTTCATGCCAGTAATCAAGACAGTTGAGAAAAGTGAAATAGACAGCAGATTGATATACGCTAGTAATTGTAATGCCGGCTTTAATTATAACATAATATTCGCATGTTGGTAGTGTTTTTATATGTTATCTAAATGAAGACAAATGCATGTAATCTTTACAACATTTGAATAATATTTGTTTAGTGCACAATTATTTATTGCATGAAATATTTTACAGCCCAGAGACATTATATTTTATTGATTAAAACACTGAATTACAATAAAGCAAGGCGAAATATACAAATGACAGTTCATGTTTGACAATATGTATTTTGATAAACCTTTATTGGACTCAATGAGAATTCATCTAATATATAGATTTAAATAACCATGAAATTTTATTATTAAAACATGCATCGTTTTTTTAAATGGTTATTATTTTTAAAAAATCATGTTCTATTTGGTAAAAAGCAAAATATAGCTAGGAAATTTCCTACATTTACTCTATATCAAGACAGTAATTTGTTTAATTGAATAATAGCAAACTGCAATTTTCCTTCAGTTTTCAATCAATTATATAAAAGTAAAACGTATGAAATACTCCACATGATTGCAATATTACAGACTGACGATATTATCTGTGAGCTATTTTGGTATATTTCGTGTGCGATAGCGGTTTGATTTATTAATCTATTATCTGATACTAACCTGTTTTTGTTTAACCTATTTTTAAATGTCGTAATTATTTACACCATACAGTCAGTAAAACACTATCAGAAGATCAATAAACAGTGATTAGACTCGAGCTATAAAAGTTATAAAAGTTTGATTTTTGTGCCAGTGATGGTAGCACGGTTTTGTTAGAGAAATATGCAAACTTGTTCTAATGATTTTCAGTTGCAAAAGTTTGGTTTTGCACACGAGGTGTAATTATAGCAAATTACTTTACTGAAACATATACAATAATCGGACTTCCGGTTATAAATTGAAATAAACCTTAGATAAGAACAGCGACAGACAAATATAGAAATAGATATAATTATTGCTTGACTTTAACAATTATTAAATAAACATAAATTGTTCATACGGCCAATTCACATTGAAATTTACACAGATGTGGAGACAAAGTACAAATCTGACTTCATAAACATGGCAAACTAAAATAAATGAAAATTGGATTCAAGCTTGTTATATTTTTGTATGAACCCACATCCGTTTCTAGATGCATCATATATCACATGTTACTAAATGTATGTGAATAGACACTTTTCGTTTACTCATGACATTTTATCTGTCTCGTTTATACGCTTAAAAGAGCGTTATGAAATGCGTACCTATTTTTCATATATTTCAGGAATATTTTTTTGCCATTTGTTTGAGTGTATAGCATATAGTACTATTATTCAATATTCAAATTTAAGATAATAAGATATTTAGACAGTAATTTATTTAGATGATACAAAGATCTCTATTAATGGTAAACATAGTAAGTATTACATAGATTATAATCTTCAATCTTGTTATTATAAATTACGTTTACTAAGAGTTTGTGGAGACATTTTCACTTTTTTTCTCAGCATTAAACAAATAATTCTAAACATTAACTTTTCAATATGAAGTTGATTCCGAACACAAATTAAAAATAAAAGATTATTTTTTAATGCTGCAGTTTGATAACAAATTTCATTATTTCTATTGAAACCTTTTAACAGACATGAAGTTATCTTAGTTATGTAAACCCTTATTATTCAAGTAGCAACAGGACTCCATAGGAACGACATGGAAAGATCAACACATTTGCTTCAAACGCTGTATTACATGTTATGCAAATCTTTAACGTAAAATAAATATATTGATGATATGTCAGTAATTAATTATGTCAGTAGTGCGTCAAATTACAATGCTTTATGCTATCTAACTCTTTGCTTATTTCCGCTTGGAAAATTATTTCCCGTCGGAAAAGTTCACTTCGGACAATTTCAAATTTTAAGAGCTTTGTACAAAAGAAATAAGGATAATACTAACCTTGAAGGAAAATAGACCTGTCATTTCAATTATTTTGAGTTACAAATAACTCATAAAAATTATGTGATTTTTAGGATTCTAAATCAGCCTAGCTTTATGACTAATATGTTCGTGATAATGCAGTGTTAATTATCCCAAAAATCCGAGCTTTAGCATATGAAATTGTAGCTTTCATTTATCATTTGAGAGTAATTGTTTTGTATAATGAAACATCCTGTAGAAAATAACATGGGATCATTAACAAACAGCAAGATGTATTTCCTAATGTGTTTTATGAAGTAGCAAATTCAATGTAATTTGCTTCAACAAGCAACCAATGGAGCGATCAAATATCACAATGCAAATTAAAAGTGAGTAGTTTATTTGTATTATTAAACTGTATCGACTGGAATGAACATGTCGAAAATTACAATGTCCCTGTATTGAAACAAATGTTTGTTTTCAATTAGTTAAATAGAAATACACACGAGCATTTATTCAAATTTACCATCTTTAGCATTCTTTCTGACTTAATAATAAATAATTGTTTATACCTAAACAAATGCGTGCTACGCAATGGACAAAGTACTTTGTAAACAAGGTTATTTTAACAGTGTGATTATAAGATGCTAATGTATAAGATACTAATTTAAACAAGAGGGCCATGATGGCCCTGAATCGCTCACCAGAAACAACTGTTTTTCAGTGATTATAGAAATATTTTTTTTTTAAAATAAACTTGTAGAAAAACAAGTCCAGGTCATCTTCAACTTGCCTCTCTAGTAATAAGGTTTCCCAAAACTGGTTGTTTTTTTTTTCTTTATAGTAAAAATGATAGGAACCAAGTTTGGTGATCATCCATCCATTAATTTGTGATAAAATTTGCCTATGACTTTTTCGAAATTGCGATCTTTCATTTTTTTTAATTATCTAAAAAAAATATAATTATATAATCTCAGTATTTAGATATACATGTATACTGTTTGTCAGGATGACACCACCGGTCAATATTTATTTAAGATAATATAGGTATACTAGTCAACTTGACCAGAGAGTTAACATTTCAGGTTAATTATCTTTCTCTTTAATAGAAATGGGAAAAATTGTATCTTTAACTACATAGAGGAAAAAGGCAAAATGTTGTTTTGATGAAATGTATTCAGTGAACATGAAAACAACTTTACACACATTGTATGAAACAGTGCAAAATTATTTTCAACAAGTGATAACCAAATTTGCAAAATGTGTAATTTAAACTGATAACTAAAATAGCACAAAGAATAAACAAGAGCCACCGCCAGGTGGGGGCAACGCTCGATTTTTAACCTTTTCTTAAAGCAAACAAAGAAATGTTTGAACAAATTAAAAAGGTTTCATTTTTATAAATTTAATCGGTCTGTCTTTACATTACTTTAGTCTATATAATTATTATCAATATCTAATATATATATACGCATTTATATATCTATATATAAATGCGTAGGGTGGTGGTGGTTCGCATGGTAGCGGTGGTGATCAGCATGGTGGTTGTGGTCCGCATCATGGTGCCGGTCCGCATGCTGGCGGTGGTCCTCATGGCAGTGGTGGTCCGCATGGTGGTGGCGGTCCGCATGGTGGTGGTGGTCAATATGGTGGTGGTGGTCCGCATGTTGGTGGCGGTCCGCATGTTGATGGTGGTATCCATGGTGGTGGTGGTCCGCATGGTGGTTGTCCGCATGGCAGTTGTGGTCCGCATGGTGGTGGTGGTCCGCATGTTGGTGGTGGTCCATATGGTCGTGGTGGTCCGCATGTTGGTGGCGGTCCGCATGTTGATGGTGGTATCCATGGTGGTGGTGGTCCGCATGGTGGTGGTCCGCATGTTGGTGGTGGTCCGCATGGTGGTGGTGGTCCGCATGGTGGTGATGGTCCGCATGTTGGTGGTCTGCATGTTGGTGGTGGTCCGCATATTGGCGGTGGTCCACATGTTAGTGGTGGACCGCATGTTGGTGGTGGTCCGCATGGTGGTGGTGGTCCGCATGGTGGTGGTGGTCCGCATGGTAGTGGTGGTCCGCATGGTGGTAGGTGTCCGCATGGTGGCGGTGGTCTGCATGTTAGTGGTTTTCCGCATGGTGGTCCGCATGTTAGTGATCTGCATTGTGGTACTGGTCCGCATGGTGGTGGTGGTACGCATGTTAGTGGTCTGCATGGTGGTAGTGGTCCGCTTGGTGGTGGTGGTCCGCATGTTAGTGGTCCGCATGGTGGTGGTCCACATGGTGGTGGTCTGCATGGTGGTAGTGGTCTGCATGTTGGTGGTGGTCTGCATGGTGGTGGTGGTCCGCATGGTGGTGGTGGTCCGCATGGTAGTAGGTGTCCGCATGGTAGCGGTGGTCTGCATGTTGGGTGTGATCCGCATGGTGGTCCGCATGTTAGTGATCTGCATTGTGGTACTGGTCCGCATGGTGGTGGTGGTACGCATGTTAGTGGTCCGCATGGTGGTAGTGGTCCGCTTGGTGGTGGTGGTCCGCATGTTAGTGGTCCGCATGGTGGTGGTGGTCCACATGGTGGTGGTCTGCATGTTGGTAGTGGTCTGCATGTTGGTGGTGGTCCGCATGGTGGTGGTGGTCCTCATGGTGGTGGTGGTCCGCATGATGGTAAGTGTCCGCATGGTGGCGGTGGTCAGCATGTTGGTGGTGATCCGCATGGTGGTCTGCATGTTAGTGATCTGCATTGTGGTACTGGTCATCCATCAATTAGTTCTGTAGAAGCAGACGTTTAAAGAAATTTCTATTTTTAGCTATAGCGGCCCCTTTAAGGGGCCAATTAAATTAGTATGAGCACACTTGATGAAAGACTACCTAAGAATGCTACAGACAAAGTTTGGTGATCATCCATCAATTAGTTCTGCAGAAGCAGATGTCTAAAGGTTTTTCTATTTTTAGCTTTTGAGATCCCTAAAAGGGGCTAAGCAAATAAGTATAAGCACATTTGATAAAAGACTACCAAAGAATGCTACAGACAAAATTTGGTGATCATCCATCAATTAGTTCTGTAGAAGCAGACGTTTAAAGATATTTCTATTTTTAGCTATTATAGCGGCCCCTAAAAGGGACCAATCAAATTAATATGAGCACACTTGAAAAAAGACCACTTAAGAATGCTACAGACAAAGTTTAGTGATCATCCATCAATTAGTTCTGCAGAAGCAGATGTCTAAAGGTTTTTCTATTTTTAGCTATAGCGGCCCCTAAAAGGGGCCAATCAAATTAATATGAGCAAACTTGATAAAAGACTATCCAAGAATGCTACAGACCAAGTTTGGTGATCATCCATCAATTAGTTCTGTAGAAGACGATGTTTAAAGGTTTTTCTATTTTTAGCCCTAGAGACCCCTAAAAGGGGCCAATCAAAATAATATGGGCAAACTTGATAAAAGACTACCTAAGAATGCTTCAGACAAAATTTGGTGATCATCCATCTTTTTTTCTGTAGTAGAAGATGTCTAAAGGTTTTTCTATTTTTAGCTCTGCTGACTCCTTAAAGGGGCCAATTGAAATGACATGAGGAAATTTAAGTGTGACTGTCACAAGGATGCTACAGACCAAATTTAAGGTATATCTGCCCAGCAGTTTCAGGGAAGAAGACGATTGTTGACGCATGACGACGGACGACGGACGCCGGAGTATCCCCCTTTGATACTAATAGCTCACCCTGAGCCTTCGGCTCTGGTGAGCTAAAAAGTCTCATGATTCTCAATTCCTTGAGGAATGCAAAAAGGTACTTTGTACATCATCTTCAGTACATGTGTGCATGTGCAAAATATACATGTAAGTGAAAGTATGCCCTTTACTTTTAGAGATTCGCGACGAAAGATAAATCTATATCGACTAACATCTAAAGAATTGCAAAATAATTATATAACAAGTTTATAATAATATGAATTGAAAAGAAATTGTTAAATTATATCTTTCTATTGCAATCGTTAAACGTCTTTCAGTTAGACTTTGAGATAAGATTTATGATGCCCGCATGCTTTGGAAGATGCAAACTGTTAAAGTGATTTCGATAACTGATTTTATATGTTCTTTACTGTAATGTAGATATCACATTAAATTGGACAAGAATGTGAAATTAATCACCCTATTTTCTCGACGGATAATGAATTTATTGTTCGTGGTTGAAGGAAATACGATAAGAGTTTGACAGGATGCAGAATATCTTTCTTATCAAAGCAATAAATAAGTCATATTTTTATAGACCAACAAGCTGGTAATAGAGATAATATTTTTACTAGCTTACAGTAAAATAACGAGTTAGTGTTAAATTAAAATCGTTCCTAGCATTTCAGAAAAGAAAATGAAAAGCGAATAGTTCTGACAAAAAAAGAAAAAGATTAATTTGAAACTTATACCTGTGACAGTAAATACATACTAAACATTGTTAACATATTAGAACTTTCCACGTTCAAATTCTGTAAATATTATTGAGGACATATCTGCTGTTAATTGATTCTGACATTTTATGTGGATCAATCCTATGAAAACAAACATGATGTAGTATGTTTTTCACTTTCGAAAAACAAGAGATTGAAATGTTTTGTGAGAACAGTTTCCTAACTTATGGCAATTATTCTTCCATTAACGCTTAAAAACTTTTGACTTGCAAACATGTTATTAAAGGTTATCACATTTCTTTTCATTTAGTCTAAAAGTAATTGAAAATTTAATCTGAAAAATACCCTGCCTGGAACGTGATAGTAATTTACGTAGATGTTCAATACGTTTCTTAATAAAACCAAAATTAATGAAAACGTCAAAACGTATATTTAGTAAGTGTTCAACTAATACGAACTAAATGAAAAAAGTTGTTTTTATAAATTTTGACACGAACTGTTAATGAGAAAGTTTTTATTAACAAATAAACGCTACTTTTTTAACCTGTTATAGAACTTTATTGTACTTAGATCGTATGGAATACGTGACAATCATTACAAAACAAAACAAACAAATAATTTAAACACCGTTCAATATGTTTACGAATAGAAAACTTTATTATTTGACAATATTCTTTCCTGAAAACACTTTAGTATTACTGTTTGTTTGTTTGTTTCCTTGTTTCATTTTACGCCTTTTTCCAACAGTATTTCAGTCATATAGGCGGGTAGTTTTCTAACCATCGTTCCTGGAGAGTTACACCAGTACTAAACTACCTTCCTCTGTGCTAAACTACCAAAGCATCTTCCGGGGATTGAACACGACTCTAACCCCTCGACCACGGAGGCGGCACGATTTAGTAACAATTACATAACTTATGACATTGATATTCGTTAATATACATGTACGAGTATATAACCTTATTCAGACGTTTGGAGGAAGTCTTTTTGTAAATACTGTGCTTTCTGGATACAGTATTAGTCACAAGTTTAAATGGCTGATATGAAATTGCCATAAATAACTTGCCAAGAGTTATTTTCTATGACAATGTATTTACACTTTAACTTTATGCCTGTAAAGTCGCCTACTATTAAAGGAGCAGTACGACTACATAGGGAATAATAAGATCAATATTTTACTCCGTGTTAACGAACATAATACACCTAAACCGATTATAACATTAACGCTGCCTATAAAAGTCAAAAGTGCATTGTATTACAAATAACAAATAATTATAGTCATTTGAAAATATGAAAAGTCAATTTCATACTTGAAATGATTTTATTATCATGTTGATTGGTTCATGTGTTCTGTTTCAAAATCTAAAGATTAAAAAATGGATACGCTAACTAGCAACAAAGATTATTGTGTTCGTTTTTTATATATTTTTTACAGTTTTATATGAAACACATTTAATTTGTTAACAGCTGCTAGCCGGCGTCTTACTTTGATAAGGAAGAAACCAGAAATAAGGCCGTGTCTACACCTATTCAAGTTTCTTACATGTCACATTTAGATAAGCTAAATAAATGGCCCTTTCAACATTTTTTCAGGCACAATTTTTACTGAAATGTCTCATTAAGATAGCCCAGGATTTATACCTTTGTCTTTGCAAGACTATCATGTTTCTGTAAAATATGTGAAAAAAGCGGGAAAATGATGCAATTAGCTAAAACAGAATGGAGTAAATGAAATGCGTTCATTCTTTTTTAAAATTGAAAAAATGTGACAAATATTTATTTTGATGCAAATTCTTTATTCGATGAAAGTTATTCGCTAAATGAACAAAAAATAGATAAATACAGAATCCCTAAAGAAATCCCAACGCGGCAAAATTGAAAATGTTGCAGGCTCGGTTTGATTGAGCCTGTTCATGGACGGTATTGGAAAGTGCAAGTTACCGTCCACGCCCCCTAGCACCGGCTTAAGCAGAATTCAACATTTAAACATGAAATAGTAAAATTTTGAATTTAGAAACATCCGCAGATGTGTTCATACGGCGGTCATCATGGAACCTTCAATGTGACACTTCCGTGCCATTCCATGAAAAGCGGCGTATGGTCCCCAATTAATAGAAAGCGTGTGCCCTAAACGAGAAAACAATGGACGGAACTAAATAAAATGGAATTTTGAAAGGGGATCAGAGGTTATGAAGCCTGCGTATCACAGATAAGACTGTCAAAAGACAAATTTAAAAAGCAGGCAACATATCCTAAGGGTGATTCAACATTATTCAAGTAGGAATATTGGAACCACCCAACTAGAAAATGCCGAAAAGTTGAAACTAAAAATACTACAAGCACAACAATAATGTCGTGCTGAACGATCTTCAAGGATCGAAAATATAACACCATTGATTAAATGTACGGGGAGACTTTTTACAGCCGCCACACGGCACAAATAACACGGATGTGATCATAAAATAGATAAATATAGAATCCCTAAAGAAAGCCCAACACGGCAAAATTGAAAATGTTGCAGGCTCGGTTGTGCTAGGGGGCGTGAGGGATGTTGCACTTATTCATTATCCCTCATGTACAGACTCAATCAAACCGAGTCCGCAATTCTTATGTTATTTTGTTGTGATTGATGCTTCCGAGGGATCACTTTGTTTCCGGAATTTTGATTGACCCTGTTCATGGACGGTATTGGAAAGTGCAAGTTACCGTCCACGCCACCTAGCACCGGCTTAAGCAGAATTCAACATTTAAACATGAAATAGTAAAATTTTGAATTTAGAAACATCCGCAGATGTGTTCATACGGCGGTCATCATGGAACCTTCAATGTGACACTTCCGTGCCATTCCATGAAAAGCGGCGTATGGTCCCCAATTAATAGAAAGCGAGAAAACAATGGACGGAACTAAATAAAATGGAATTTTGAAAGGGGATCAGAGGTTATGAAGCCTGCGTATCACAGATAAGACTGTCAAAAGACAAATTTAAAAAGCAGGCAACATATCCTAAGGGTGATTCAACATTATTCAAGTAGGAATATTGGAACCACCCAACTAGAAAATGCCGAAAAGTTGAAACTAAAAATACTACAAGCACAACAATAATGTCGTGCTGAACGATCTTCAAGGATCGAAAATA